GGTGTGGGTGCGTGTGGGTGTGGGTGTGGGTGTGGGTGTGGGTGCGGTTCTTCTCTTCATTGGCACCCACACCCACACCTACACCCTGTTTATTAATTTTTTTCTATCTTGAAATGATACAATAAAAAGACTGTTCTATTTACAATGATTAGTTGTATGTATCAGTATCCATAAGATTTCCACCTTCTATGTGTCAAAACAATGTGTTGTCTTTTATCGGTCTACATACGTATGACATAACCAGCGACTATTTTGATTTTCATTTTATATAGTTTAATTCGTTAAAATGAATGAATATTCTTGTTAAAATGCATTCATTCGACTAATTTGCCTATTCCGTACGTTAAAACATGTTCATTAACGTAATATTTTCTTTAAATTCGTGAAAATGCGTTATCAGCAAAAATAACCCATTTACACTCATTGATTTCTCTCGTTTGTCGAGTGGACGAGTTTTAAAGCGGTTTTTTCTTCATTTTTCAACATCGATGCGTCAAAACAACGTTTATGTCATTTATCTGTCTGCGTGGGGCGCGTGAATAGTAATAAAAAAAAAAATGTTTCGATTTGAATGTATTTTATTGAATTGAAAAAAATTGAACACGATTATTTTCACTATCGACGACATAGAGATTGCCTTGTCGATCGAAAGACAAACCACGGAGATGTTTGAATTGATTTTCTCCTGCTCCTTCATCATTTCCACCCACAATGACAGTATCCTGTTCTGCTCCTTTAGGCCAACGCCTTATTCGATGATTCACCGCATCTGCCACATAGAGGGTACCCAACGTATCGACGAAAAGTCCTGTAGGATGTGACAGAGTCTTCCCTTCATCTTGATCTCCAGCGATGACAATGCCTTCTTTTGCACCTTTATTCCATTTCATTACACGATGATTGCCTCTGTCGGACACGTAGACAGCCTGTTGTTGATCGACATAGATATAGGTCGGCAAGTTGAGTTGATTGAAACCAGCACCTTTGCCATTTCCACCAGCCACGATAATTCCATTCCTGTCTCCTATTTGATATCGTCTTACTTCATGTTTTTCCATGCCAGAGACGTAGAGATATCTATGATCATCCATGAACAATCTACCACAAGCGACGTGGTCAATGAGGATTTCTCCTTGAGTTGTGCCACTACGATGAGACCATCGTACGACTCGACTATTTCCGTAATCACAGATAATGAGACTATCAGTCTCTTTGTCGATCAGCACGTCGGTTGGATGTCTCAATTGATTCAATCGATTTCCTTGGCCATTGCCACCAGCTACAATTTGTCCATTCGTATCACCCATCTTCCATTGAACGATACGATGATTCCTGTAGTCAGCAATGATTATCGTTTGATCATCATCAACGAAGAGACCGTAAGGCTCGTTAAGTTGATTTGTGGCAGCGCCTTTTCCATTACCTCCAGCAACGATCTTTCCGTTTTGTGACCATTGAGCATCGATGGGAATATTGGGAATAACTATAATGAAGAAGAAAAATGAATCTTCATTGTTGAAGAGATCTTTGTCTCTCATGCACGAGAAAGTACTTTTTGTAATTTAGTCCATAAGAAACGGACTTTGTAAGAATTATTTTTGTGTCGATAATTATTTCTAATATCTGAAATGTTAAGCTTTCAAAATTCTAAGGAGATTTCCATGTACGAGTTTATATGTGTAAAGAAAACAAAATTTTGCAAGCATAAAACGAAATAAAACAAGACAATGAATAGTCCTTTTTGGTAGAGCTTGAAATCAGACACTTTCCAAGTCACAAGTCAAGTCAAGTCAGTAAAAGAATTTTCAAGTCAAGTCAAACCCTAAAATTTTTTCGACCAAGCCAAGTCAAACCCCAAAATGTTTTTGATCAAGTCAAGTCAAGTCAAAACCTCAAATATTTTTTGACCAACGCCAGTCTATTGGCTTGACTTGACTTGGACTTGAACTGACTTGAATTTACTTGATTTGAACTGACTTGAATTTACTTGATTTGAACTGACTTGACTTGACTCAAGTCAAGTCACAACCTAAAAAGTTTTTGACCAAGTCAAGTCAAGTCACAACCTAAAAGGTTTTTGACCAAGTCAAGCACTAAAATTTTTTAGGTCAAGTCAAGTCAAGTCAAGTCAGACTTGACTTGACTTGCCAGCTCTGCTTGAAATGTTCTTTCGAATGATAAGTCTTTCTTGTTTCTCTTTTTCTCTTCTCATGCTCATCAATTTTCTGCGTTCCTTCAAAATTTCAGCAATTTTTTCTTTCTATATCATTTCCAAGGGCATTGATTACTCTAGGGTGTGGGTGAGTGTGGGTGTGGGTGTGGGTGTGGGTGTGGGTGTGGGTGTGGGTGTGGGTGTGGGTGTGGGTGTGGGTGTTCTTCTGTCTTTCCTCCACCCACACCCACACACCTACACCCACACCCACACACCTACACCCACACCCACACACCTACACCCACACCCACACAGCCACACCCACCCATGCACACCCCACACCCTTGCATTATTAAGGCATGGTAATGAGTTGTGATGACTTTTAATGGTGTCTAATGATTTCTATTCTAGAAATTATTTGGCTTCTATTGATCTAATAGTTTTAATAAGAAATTCAATTCTAGTTCATCGATTTCGTAAGTCAGAGAAATGCATGCTGACTTTGTAGTGATTTAGTCTTATCGTATCGGTTTAGCTTATTCCTTCAAGTTGCAGTTTTTAATTTTAAAAATAATAATTTTATCTAAGTACGAACTTCTTGATTAACTTTTGTAGAATCTTTCTTTTCATACTCTATACGTACTACAGATGTTGGTTCGTATATTTCACAGACATGCTTCTTAGCTTCATATTAACTGCAAAAAAGATATTGCAAGTTTATCAATAATCCTTTCTTTCAATGAGAATTCATATATAGCCGCTAGTTTAGTGATTGTTGTCTAAGATTTCTAAGCTAATTTCATTGTATGACTGATTTATGCACTCATACGAAATTTCACAATTGGACTGAAGTACGCAATCAGCCGCATCTCTTAGATTTTAAGTTATTAGCTATTCGAACTTTCGACTAGTCAGCATTAATACTAATCAACTGTTCTTCCACTAAGCAGATTTCCGTATCACTCACACTCACCACATCCTCTGCTTCCGAAAAGAAGAATAGTTCTTAGATCTCTCAAAATGGAGTATAAATTACAAATACAGCATTCGGTCAACCTGTTCATCTCAACTTTAGTAAATGATTAATTTTTATGGAAAACCTGGCATTTTTATCGAGATATAAAGTGATTTATAATACTTCATATTGAAATAAAATGCATCCGGTAGTCATCTGTTTAATTAAAATTCACTTGAGAGAAAACAGATACAATTTAGAATAAACAGAGAAGATAAAAAGGATTTTTTCCAGGGGATCTATGTTAAGGCTATCTGCATTGAACATACTGTTTTTTAAAAAATTTTAGTCATTTTAAACTCAGTCAAATCATAATCTGGAATTTTTAGCTGTGGAAAGAGAAGACATGAAAATATCTTTTTGTTCAATAGTTTATGGGTAAAATCATTGTGAAGCCAATAATACCCTCGAATAATCCACAGAAATGCATCAAAACAGTTCATCATGCCAATGAAATTGTGATTTTGACATGCCTTTTAGATAGAGGAACTTAGGACCTATGGTTCCAGAAACAATATAAATGGTAACCTTTTCACATCTTAAAGTTGAACAAAATAAAACCATATTTGTGTTCATTCGAATAATCTGAAAATTTGTCGATTTTTTCAGCAAACTAGCTTCCTGCTTATCAAAATTTGATTAGGATGATAGACTCTTTTAATGTATTTTGATGAATATGTTATCGGGATTATTGATTTCAAAATGATTTCTCTCTAGATATTGCTGAAGAAAAATATATTTCTATGTTATCTGTTCCGACTACTGAAAATTGCAGACTGCTAGGTGTTTGCATTTTCCACTTACTCTGTTCTTTTGACGAAGTACCTTTAAGCCCCGTGTTGAAGTTAGTTTTCAATACTTGATCAGGATCAATTATTTCTAGACAGCTTTGGAAAAAGACTAGAGGCAACTAAAGAAGTTTTATAAAACATAAAGTGATTGCAGATAATCTCTTGGTTTTGATCAATAACTTGGCT